ATTCATTTTGGCTGAGTTTTTTGAATTTGGCATAGCGCACACTAGCTTTACCACTAGAAACTCAGCACGAGATATACTACGAAAAATCATTAAATAATTTAATAGAATCTTTAAGTGAGTGCACCATTGTTACAAGGCACAAGGTACCATATACATTTGGAGAGAATAAATAGTGTGTGCATTAGAGTTGACTGCAATCATATGGGTGGTTTATATATGTGCACATTTGAAAGCCAAGAACATTATAAAACCTTATATGTATAAATCAAAGTTATTTAAAATAAGGTCAATTCTTATGCTGTATAAACTATACAATAGAAAGGTTTCACGGTATATTTTCAATTCTTTCACTGACAGGAGATTTCCCAACAGCCCAATTAAGAGGCAGTTTATTTTGTCAATAGCTTATTTTCCAACCACTCTGAACCTAAATTTTAATACTAACTTTGGCTTTGACCTGTCAAGAAATGTCTTGACCCTCTATAATCTAATATGCATATAATAATAATGTAGAGACAATGAAAATTTGACTTTTGGGAATCAGGCAATTTGTAAATTTATTTGTTTGTAACGTTAAAGATTAAAAGTCATATCGATGAGATACTATATTTACAAAATTAAACTATTAAATTAAGCATAAGGTTATAAAATAAAAAAGTTAAAAAAAATTCCATCCTGAGAAAATCATAATAAAAAAAAAATTCATAATCTCTAGTCGTGCTAGTCCTAAATAAATTTGAAAATAAAGAAAGTGATTATAGATTATACTGTATAATTTATGGTTGCGTATTGGTACGAAAAACAATTTATCTAATTAAAATTATTAAAATATTTAACGTTAACATTAAATTCCTAAGCTGAAACCCAATTTCACGAACCCAAGATGACCAAATTCTAAAAATTTTCTTGTTTTACACGTCTAATATATTATTAAATTGAAATGGAATCAAGAGCCTGTGATAATTTGTCATCATCCAAGAACGAACATTTATCATCCGTCGATGCAGATGAAAAACAGTCACATTCACATTCATCTGGCTCACCAGCAATGGCAGAAAAAGAAGCGAATATGGCATCAAATTCTGCAGTAGATAAGATTTCGTCACCAGACGTTTCTGATAATATATTAGAATCAAGTGGTGGCGGAGGATGTAGTTTTTGATATGATGAACCATATACTAGTGTGTCGTGCTGAGATATTTGATAATTAGAAGTGTACACTTCGTCTTTGTTTGACGAGGAAGTAAGTTCATTAGGCATCGTGGATTGATTATTTAAATCCCGGGATCCAATTCCTTCTCCTTGTTCCTTTAAGTATTGGAGCTTTGCTGTCAATTCTTGAGAAAAACCATCATCAGATGAAGAATTGCTCGTTTTTGATATTATTGAGGACGACCGAGACGATGATGATGACATTTTCAATATATTGGAGACAGGAGTCTGAGTGTAATTTATTAGAATATGGTTTTTTCTTGAGGGGATTCTTCACTAATATTTTTTTTTTTTTTTTAATTTTCAGTATTAAAATGTATTAAAGTATACTCATCGATAAGATTTTTTGGTTGCCTGCAAGAAAAAAATAAATACTTTTATATATGCAACGACTAAAGAGTATTTAGGATGGAATTTTTTTTTTCTTTTTTAACCAAACGCTTAAATTAAGAATTAAAAATAATTTTAGCAAACGCAACAAAGAAAATTTGTTCTTTTCAGATACTTTATATATAGTAATTATAAATGCAGATATTCGGAATATATAATTGGAAATTACGCAATAACGATAACTTATACTCTTTTAAGTTCATTATTTTAATAATGCAGGGTCGGAAATTAAGATTAAAAAATTTTAATTACTTTAACTGTCACAGAATAGGGGTGTTAACGTCACCTGCTTTTTAAACGAAAGTTTTCAATAATACACAATGAACCTATATTAGTCTAAACATAATTTTTTTGGGAAAACAATATTCTAAATTCTTTCGATTTACAAGTCGATGAATTCCACATCTCTTAGTAATAGAAAATCAGTGTATCAGTATCGTAATCGCTATTAATTTGCTCATATTAGTCACGTGGATAATTATAGGGAATATCCAATCATAGTGTAAATTTTAATCATTCTGCGGAAGAAAATACAGATTTTCATATTCTAATTCTAACGCCTTTATCCCTAACAAGTATTTTAATCACGTGCTTTATTTAGTCACCTTTTAAGGCGTTTGTGTATTAACAGTAACTCCATAACGCGATCTGTATATCAGTATTTTTATACGGATACTGGCGATTATCCGGATCATCTCTCTTTTGCCAGAACTATATATATATAAATCAATGAATTCTCAATTGAAACCCTTTGACATTACAAGGAAATTTGGCGTTATTGGTTCTCACGGTAGGCGTTAAGTGACTTTTTTTACACTATGCTAAAAATGTCAAAAATCACTACCGTATGGGAAATTTGCTACGATCAAATTAATCGTAATAGTCTATCGCAATTCGTATCGATCCGTGATCTACTTCGGTCCGGTTTGAAGTTAAATTTAAAATACATACAATTGTTGCTCTTTTAGGAGCATGTGGCTGAACCACAAGGGCAACTAATTTTCTAATTTAAGCTTCTTGTAATACTGGAATTCTCCTGAAAGAGCGATAATTCTATATGTAATTCTAAATTGGGGGTTTATCTCTGCTTTTGTTATAAATCTACATTGTCTAATTCAAAAATTCTTTTTTAAATGAACTCCTAATGTAACTTTTATATCTTGTATGAATGCTGTGTTTTATAGACAATGGCCAACTAACTATAAAAAGCTTTATTAAATATAAATATAGACTGCAGGTACGCATGTACGAGCCGATAGTTAACGGAGTGATTTTAATACGTACAGTACGTATGATACCCGAGTTATATATGAAAAGCTGATTGGTTAAAGTTTTTTTACCAATCAAATTCAAGAAGTGAGCAGGAAATTCCTGTTAACCCTACGAACTAGATAGTGATTTGCAGATTCTTTGATAACGTATAAATAATATAATACTTTAAAACTAAAATTAATTTTATCGTTATCGCAATATTTTAGGACCAGGTCATTTGATTATTTTTTAAATGACCCGGTTAAAATAAACACCGCCGGAGAAAAAGCAGCTTCCGGCATTCGGAAATTTTGTGCCCTGATTAGTGGATTTTTCCCAGATAGTGTTAACGGAAATGCGTTTACTAATTTCTCCCCAAAGTTTCGATTTTGGCCAATCAGAGAGCAAGATCAGGTGTAACGTGACGATCAAAACAACAATCACTTTTTTTTGTAAAGTCACATTTATCTTAAAAATTCGTCTAAGAAACCACCTTTGGCGTACTAACAAAAAAAATTCCTTGCAAAATTTTGGTATAATGTCGGCTACTAACCCTAACCCTAACCTAACTGAGATGTCACATTTTGAACGAAAGGTGATATGTAAATTGGTGCGAATAATC